ACCCCTCCATCACCCATCTGTCACCTCTCCCCCACATCACCCCTCCGCCCACGTCACCCTTCCCCCATGTCACCCCCCTCCCCACGTCACCCCTCTCCCCACGTCACCCGTGGCAGGGCTTTCCTGCCCCCTGCCCAGGGCATCACACTCGGGGACTCACAGATAGCAGCGGCAGCCAGGCATTTCACAACAACTGGGGGGGGCTTGCAGCCTGAGTAGAAGGGCGCACAGACATACTCGGAGAAGCTGAGGCAGATGATGGCGAAGGATGTGGGCTTTATGACAAACAGGCTGGTCCAGGAAAAGAGGTAGGCAGGGATGGGCCCGAAGGCCTCCATCAGGTAAGGGTACTCGCCCCCCGACTTGGTGATCATCGTACCAAGCTCCGCAAAGCACAGGGCCCCTGGAACACAGAGAGGAAGGGGCCCCGTGGTCCCTGGTGAGGCATTGCCCTGGTCTGAGGGAGCCCCCGCCCCTCTGGGGCTGTGACCACGGGGCAACCCTGCCTCTCTCGTCAGACCCCTGAGCTCTGGCCACAGCTCATTTCAGCACAGCCCGATCTACACCAGCGGCCCACGGGTGTTGGTAGGGACCCCAGCAACAGCCAGGCCGGGGCACACCCGCATAGCCCATCCCCACCTACCACCGGGAGAGCTCGCCAGGGAGGGGCGTCTTTATTACCCAGCGTTGCAAGGACCCCACAGGCTGCCCATATGATGAGGCAGGGCCCCACGGCTTCCGTGTTGCTGAGCACAGACTTGGGGGAGATGAAGATCCCAGAGCCGATGATGGTGCCCACGATGATGCAGATGCCGCTGAGCAGGCCCACCTGGGACGTGGGGAGGGGGTAGGGGCGTTAGTGCAGCCGCCCCGCGTGCAGCTCTGACAGACTGACACAGCCCTGCCTCCCCGCTCCCCTCCCTCGGTGTGGCCAGCACAGCCCAGGCGAGCCCCACGGCCCAGGCGCCTCTGGCCAGCACTGTAGCAGTAAACACTCAGCTTAGCTCACGTCAAGTTCATTCATCCTCACCTCATGAGCGGGGTATGCCCTTGTCACCCCCATTTTACAGAGGAGAACACAGAGGCACAGAAAGGTCACGTTACTTCCCAGGGCTGGACAGCCAGCTCAGGTTCCATGCTCCCGACCTCTACCCTGACTGCACTTGACAAAGCGGCCCAGACGGTTCTAAAGCCTGGTTTAGCAAACAATGACGTCAGGGCTCTGGTCTGGGCCAGGGGCCTCGCAAGGAGCAGAGGCGGGGGCACGGGGAGAAACTGAGGCCTCCAGGGACAAGAACATTCCGAAGCCGTGAACTTTCTCTGATGCCATTTTGCAGGGTGTGAGCTTCCTACCAACAAGCCCCGACTCAGACACAAACCATATAGTTCCATTCCTGACATTTAGAAACAGACAAAACTAACCTACAGGGATGGAAACTCAGGACTGGGGGGGTCCCGCCTGGGAAGGGGCAAGAGGGAATTTTCTAGAGTGATCAGTTTGTCAAAACTCATCAAACTGAACCCTGAAGATTTGTACATAAATTATACATGAATTAAGAGAAAAAACTTTTTTAAAGGGAGACAATGTGTGACTCAGGTCCCTACTTACAGCGTCAGCCCTCAGCCTCCATCAGGCCTGAGTTCTGAAGTCCGAGGTGAACATACACGCTCACCTATCTGGGCAGAGGCTGTGCTCAGGGTTAGAGCCCAGTGAACAAGGAAGACCCCAGCTGTGGCTTGACAGCAAGGGTCACACACAACTGGGGAGGGCCCCGGGAGCAGGGTCAGGGCCCATTCTGGCCTCAGGGCCCTAGCAGGACACTAGCAGGACAGTCGGCTTTTCTCCTCTAATGGCCCATTCAGCTGACCAGCCTGGGAGCCCTCCCGAATCCTTCCTCCCACTGAGGTCTGCATTCAGCCGGAAGCTGCCCGGCTTTAGGGATGAGTTGAGGACATACCTGGGGTTAGCTCTGTGCTTTTCAGTGGGCAGCAACACCCATTAGTCAACTCCTAGGGAACCCAGATCCCAGGCCAACCCACAGCCAAGCCATGCCATGCCCCCAATCCCTCCTCTATCTCTTCTGCCACCAGGCAGGGGAGTTCTTGGAGGCTTTGCCCAAGGCTTAGCCCACTTGTCAGGCCCTCAAAGCCATCCTGATCTTGTTCTGGGACTCTCCCTTCTCATCCTCTGAGCTTGAAGCTGACCCTCCATGCCTATCCGCCTGAAAGCTCCCCTTCCTTGCAGCCCCAGTGCCAGCCCTGAGTGACAGGGGCCCCCTCTGGGGTGCAGGCACCTCCAAGTCCAGCCACTACTACATTCCATGTCAGGGATCATCACATCACACCCATGTCACACTCGCTACCCCTGCTAGACACTAAAAAGGAACGAGTTTCCCATCACTGAAGGAATACGAGGCACAAGGGGCAGATACTTGGTGAAGATGCTATCGGGGGGGGGACTCCAACATCAGAAGGTCCTCTCTGACCATCCCTGACGAGGCCAGGGGTCTGAGCAAACACCAGCCCCTCCAGGCACCCGCCCGGCTCACAGAAACACACATGCATTAACCTTGCAGGAAAATGCTGAATTCATTGGCCAGAAGGAAAGAGGTAAGTCCAAGGAATTGTTTGCTTTGAGATGTGCTTTACAAATCAGAGATCAGTGGGGTCTTCACTGGGACCGCTGCTTAGCACGCTTGACCTGGGAAGGGCCGGTGCCGAGGGACGGCCTTACCTCCTTCTGGAGACTTGTGGTCTTGGGTTCCTTACTCTGGATGCTCTGGACGGACCTCTCATCCTCTCTCCTGTTTCTCAGGCTTGTCTCCTCCATTTTCCCCTCCCACCAGTTCTAGGAGGCTGCAGGGAGAGCAGGAGCCTTGACTCAGCACATGCTGAGCGGACGAGACACGGACCCGGGCTCAGCCAGCGCGATCCTGGCTCACTCTCCTGGATGACCCTCCCGGCCCCATGGGGACCGGCTCCAAAAGCAGCTTCTTAGCTACTGTTTCCGGGAAGCGCCCTTGTCGACCCCTTAGGGATGATCTGTTCATTCCCGGGGCTAACAACCCACAGGACCACCACAGATGCTGTGGCGGCGGGGGGGGGGGTGGGCAGGGGTCTCCTGTGCATTTTCCCAGCCGCCCCGCAGCCCCCGGGGGCCTGAGCTGTCAGCTCCTGCCCACCAGCAACGACACGCCCCAAAGTCATTCTACCTCCAACTCCTTTTTTCCCCAAAAGTAAAAAGAAGTATTTTTAAACATCCTGGAATATCCTTAGTGGAATCAAGTCCGAGGAAGGACTGCTTTCCCCATGATCACTTCCCAAGATGAAGGTGCCTGGAGCGGGACAGACCCATAGCGGGGATGCTTCTGCACCAAGTGACACCAGCCATGTGATGCTGGGGAGAATCAGCTCCAGGCTCAGCTGGTTGGTGGTCATTCCTGGACCCTTTCTCTAAATAAAGTCTTTCCCAGGCCCTAGCCGGGAGAGTGCGGAGCCTTCCCATCGCCCTTCGGCCTTACCTGCTTCTTGCCCTCCCGGGGTCCAGGGAGCTGCCCGGCGCGGCTGCTGGAGGCGTCTGCGCGTCTGCACGGTCGCACCCAGGAATGGCCATGTCTTGTGCCCAGGAGTGAAGGAAGCCAGAAGGTACAGAGGTCAACAAAGGTAATTATTAAACTCTTTTTTTCTTTTCTTTTTTTTTTTTTTAAGCAATGAAGCTTGGATCCAGCGCACACAAAGCGGAGGGCCAGACAAGCTAATTTCTATGCAGAAATGTTTTTGTGCTGCTCATCATTGTTTTTTCCTCAACCAGATACCCCCCAATTGGCTACATCCTATTAGGGGAACTCCCTCCAAAAACTGGCATCATAAGGGATAAACTTTGGAACCAGCTCTTTTATTGCTTTAATAGGTTAGATTTACAGCCCCAGGCAGGCAGCGCAAGGAGGAACCGCTGGTCAGGGCAGGTGTCTTTGTCCCTCCTGGCTCTGGCCAAGCCTGCAGGAGGGTGGGCAAGTCTTTCCCGCTCCCCTCGGGCAGTGACTGGGTTCCAGCACCACTGCCTGGGCAGAAGAGTTTGGCAGCTCACCAACCCGGCCCTGAGGCCTCGCCTGGATGCCTGTGCCGAATGCACCTGCCGCTCCAGCCCTGGGGCAGTTCCCTTTGGCAGTATTGCTGTTCCTGTAGCCCAGTCTGCGCTTACCTGACTGTGGGACAGAAAACAGGTTGCACACTCTCCCTTACCTGGTGGGGAAACTGAAGCCCCAGAGATAATGAAGCCCGTGAAGGCCACAGAGCTCCGGATGTGCTGGGAGGGGCTGGGGACAGACCCACCCACAGACCCACCCTCCCCACGAAGGCTGACTCAGGTGGCAGCTCTAATCCCTTGTCTCAGATAAGTTCTTTCTCTTGATGGAAAACCCCTGGCCAGGAGCATTGTACTGTTATCAAAACCACCCCTCTGGTTGTTTTGCATTGGGATAAATCTGACAGCATCTCAGATATCCAAAAGAGTTCAAGGGTCACAGGAAAGAGCCGGGCAAGACATGGGTGGTGGCACTGGGGGCACTGTGGGCGGGCGGATTCCTCAGGCTTGTTTCTTAAAGCCATCTGAAGAACGTGGGGACCCTCAGTCTCAGAGTCAGTGTTCCCCTGCCCACCATGCCCAGCGCTTCCATGCGGGCTCATCCCCCGCACCCCCCCCACCGCCCCGAGCCGGAGGCCAGAGGCCCTGCAGGGTGGGACCTGCTGCCTCCAAACCTGCTCACAGGTTTGTCATTCCCTAAAGTCTTGGCTAATACAGCAGCACTCAAACTAGTTGCCGGTGCGTCTATATCTGCAAAACACTGCAGAATCCTCCCTGGGTCAAAGTTGCCTCCAAAGGGCTGATGTTCTAAAAGAAATCACGTGAGGAGGGCAGAGTTGGGAGGTGGGTGGGAGGGCGTTGCCCGGAGCCAGCCCTGTGACTGCAGGTGACTCAGCCTCTCCCCAGGCGTCCAGATCCAAATCTGTAAGTATCTGTAGGTGGGCCTAGCAGCCGCACACACCCCTCCTGAAATGGTAGGGATCACAGAAAGCCTTAAACTTCTGTGGATCCTCTGGTCTCCTGGGGCCTCTGCCAAGTGCTGAGTTTGGAACATCTGGGCATGCAGCTCCTTTGTTAAGGGTCAGAAATATACTTCAGTGAATTTGGGGTCCTTGGGGAGCTCTTTCTTTCATAAAGCTGTTGCTTCTTTTTTGTTTTGCCCTGGCAGAGTGAGTGTTCAACCAAATTAACGTCTTTTTCTGCCCTCAAGGAAAATAATCTGGATTTAACACCCCCGCCCCCCACCCCAGCCGTGAATTCTCGGAGACCTTTGGCTCCTTAGGCATCCAGTCCTTCCACCACAGGGCTGAAGTTTCGCCCCACTGCAACCTAGGCCCTCTCAGAGCACACTTCCTGGGAAGTTGCAGGCTTTTTTTTTTCTTTCATACGACTCTTATTTCTTAAGCTTCAGCTAAAGCTCTTGACCCTCACTTTCAAACTGTGCCTCTTCCCATTGCAAAGGTGCTTGCACCCTTTTATGAATGCCATCCACATCTTACCGTCTCTGTTCTCCACAGCCTCTTGCTCTCTTGTCCTCCTCAGAGGAAGGGTCAAACCCTCACACAGATGCTGGACCTGCCTTTACCACTCAAACTTGCTCCAGACGTGCCTTCGAGTTGTCGAACTTTCTTCAGTTCCTAAGGTCACGTGGTCTCACATTCCTTCCCCCTGCAGCTGGTAATGGTTCAGAGTCTTTGGGGGACCACAAAGACCATATAGCCAGGTGCTCACCAACTTCCTGGATTTGGGGCAGAACTTGTAAAGAGTCAGTGGAATGTGCAGAGTCTTTAAAATGTCAAGGACTTACAGTCTCACCATAAAACAAGTAACGCAGGAATTCACTCACTCCTTTAAACACTAACTCCCCATTTGCTCCTTTGCCCCAGATCCTACTTTGTCTCTGAATTTGACTAAGTACATCACGTAAGTGGAGCCATGCAGTATTTGTCCTTACGGGCCTGAGATATGTTACGTGGTTAGACATACATGAACTCCCGTGATGCAGCAAATCCAGCCCTAGGTATTTACCCAAAAAGAATGAAAACACGTCCACACAAAAATTTGTGTACAAATGTTCCCAGCAGCCAGGCTGGAGCAAAGCAGCGTGCCAGGGCTCAGGCTCTCCACGGTGACAGGATGGGGAGCGTGTGGGGTCCAGGAGTGGTTTCTCGTTTAGATGTGGGACACTTGAGGGGTTTTTGCTGCTAATGGGAAGCCTGTGTCGAATGGAGAGGCCGCCCGGAGTGACCCAGACCTTACATCTAGGAATATCTAGGTGTGTGTGTCCTCCTGGAGGGAGGTAACCCCCACCCACTGAGCCCAGCTGCCTGAGGAATCAAGGAGGTGACAGTCCCCTCCCTTCTGAGGGGAAGTGGACCTGTGCCACACAGCTCACAAGCCCTGGCTGCTGGGAACTGCTCCCTCCCCCCAACCCCCCAACCCCCCAACCCCTCGAATTCACTCACTCACTCACTCTGGGTGGAGGTTTGCAGGCTCTGGCTAACCCCAGAGTCCAGTCTCCAATCTCTGGGATCCGCGCATCTCTCTCCCTGCTTCAGCTCCTGCCCTGTTCTGCCCATTTCTGCTGGCTCCACTGTGCAAACCTGCGTGCATCCTGGTCCCACGTGCAATGAGAAATATCTCCCCGAAGGAGCAGGCAGGGTCCCTGCAGAACCTCAGGAGGGCCCCGCTCTGTGGGTGCCCCAACCCCAGGACAGAGAGGCGCGGGTAGAACGGGGACTGGGTCACAGGCTGCCTGCCACCATGGAGTGGGCAACCAGCCTGGCCTCTTCCCAGTGCCCCAAGGCTCCAAGGAAGCCCCAGAGGCCAGACTGAATGCGGAGCCCCATTCCTGGCCGGGGCTATGGTGCCGTCCAGGACTTGGTGAGGGGGAAGTAGCTGCATCTGAGCAGGGAATACCAAGGGCAAGGGTTTCACTGGCTGTCCACTGCCCCCCGTGGCCTGTGTTACTCATGCCCTTGCCGGCTCCCCTCCTTGCCCCACCCGGGGGTGGGGGTCACTCAGCTTCTGAGGCACTTACACTGGAGAGAGGCACACAGCAGACTGAGTGGGGCGGGCGGCCCTGTGTGTCCCCAGTGAAAGTGCCTTCGTGGTCCCCAAGCCTCTTGAAGCCTCCCTCTTCCCCGTGTGTTCCCCCTCCTGCTTCCAGAGTCTGGAACCCCTCCACCCTCCCTCCTGGGACCGTAGCCAAGGGGCTGTCCCAGCATCCACTCTGCTCCTTCATTTCCCCAGAGACAGACACCACCCTCCAGGGCTCCCTGCCCGAGTCTTCAGCGCCACCTGCTTCTCCCAGTGCCGTGCGGCCACGTTGCTCTGCAATTTGCCCTCCACCTGCAGTCTTTTTGTCCCACTTTCCCAAAACTTTACTGGAATTCTTTTACTATGCAAATTCCGACTCATTCTTTAAGGGCACATACAAAAAAGGTCACCCGATGTCTCCTTTATGTTGTGAAAACAGTAAATGCCCAGGCACAGACTCCTGAGCCCGAGGAACGGCCGCTCCGGTGCCTCCCGAGTCTGCTGGAGCTGCGTTTTCCTTCTGTGACTTTCTCTGGTGTTTCAACCACACACGTCTGTCCCCAGAGAACACACTGCCCGGCTTTGCATGGTTCTGAACACGACACAAGTGCATCGCTGTGTTGGTACCACAGCCGGGGAAGGGCTCCTGTTGGTGTGGGTGCTTCATTCTGCCAGGGGCCCCCCATCTCCCGCCTCAAGGGCATTTCTGGTGTTTCCGGGGGGGGGTGATGTATGGACAGGATGCTCTGACCATGCTTGTACTGTTCCTC